AGGCACATGAATCTTGTAAGTCTCCCATGCTTTCCACTTGGGTTTTTCAGATAGGTGCAGGTAGAACAAACAAAACACATAATCCTGATCAACAACTGAGATATACTGTAATTAGGGACACGCACAATTTTTTATTCACCGAACACTGAGGCACATAATGTTCTTTCCCCTTAACTTGCTCCTTACTTTCTTCTTCTCATTCATGTAGTCCTTGCTCATTTCATTATAACTTCTTCTTCTAGAAGAAGCTCTATCCCACTTCTCCATGTTTTCTTCTAAATTTATCAGCTTTCACCCCATTTGCACATGCTCATTTCCATTCCTCTCTCCATTAATTCTTATTTCTGTGGTTTTCCCCCTTTTCACCTGTTTTATTTTCTCTTCCACATTCTTTACTTTCCTCCCCCACATTTCCAGCAGTGTCCCTCAGATGTCATAGATCTGTTTCTAAAGTGACTAAATTTAATGTGTAACCTGCATCACCCAAGATATCTTGGAGCATTGCAATCCAACCAGCACTCCAAACAAGCATTGGCAGTCACTGATTTCAGTGGACAACATTTTTTTTCAAAAATTTTGCTTCCTGAAATACTTTTGGTGATTATAATAGACCCCTTCAAACTAAACATCAATATAATTTCAGAATCTTGAAAAATGTGAAATTAGTTTTAATGTCTATAATGTATTTAATTGTGTAATGTTTCTGACTTGCTGCATGAGTTGAACAGGGCCAAAAATACTTTGCTGCTGATTTTTGTTTGTTCTTAGTGTCCGATGCATGTTGCTGCAGTATCCAGCAATAGTCAGCCAGCACTGAGAGATCCAGTAGCTCTGATATCCTTTTTCCATTCCAAACTTTCACCATGTTTGTCAATATTTGCACCTAGATTTTCAGGAAAAAGTCCAAGTGTGAGCCTTCGGTGATATGTTCCATTTCATGATCTTGTATGCAGTAAGAAGTTTGTCAACCAGCTGAAAGTAGTTTGGTGCTCTGTAGTTGCCAAGAAAATTTTCAATGACATCCTTGGATTGTGCATGACTTAATGTCCTATGTCCAATAAAACTCCACCAAAGTTTTTAGGACTTTGAATCCTAATTTGATTTAGTTCTACATTTTCAAGTTATGACCATAATGGAGCCTGCCTGTTGTGGTTATGTCATAAGAGCACAAAACGGATCAGTCAAATTTTACAACCTTTTTTTTTGTGTTGGCCATGAAACAAATGCTGTGATTTTGCTGAAAAAAACGGAACTGCTGCTCTTTGGCAAGGATGTCATGTCATTTATGTCACATCACCACAGGATGCTGCAAATGGCCATAAATGCATCTGTGTTGCTGAGTGCCTGGAGTATGTGTCATGTGATATGGGGGAGGGGACAACCATCCGAATTTTGGATTTGGATTTGGATAATAAGTCCCCTTTTTCAGGTCCACTGTAACTTTGAACAGTCACTAGTCAGAAGTTAAGAACTACCCCTAGTGTATTAGAGGCCTATATCTGTGATTTATGAACATAATTATTAAGCTTCCCTCAAAAGGGAACATAATCTTAACTTGGTAATAGAAACTGAGGTTTGGCAGAAAACTCAGTGTAACATCTCCTGGAATATGAAAAAAAAAAAAATCAAATGGAGGGATGCTAACTTAAATATTAATTAGTTGATCGAGATATCTTTGAAGAAACTCCATTCAGAATTCATAATGTTGTTTACAATACTAATATTCCTAGCGTGGGATGTAGCTTTCAGGAATTAATTATCTAGTTCTCAGCTGCTATTATACAAAGTGGAATATTGATGTACATGAGGATATTTTCACAGAGAATGTGGAGACGTCTCCTATCCCGGTGAAATTTCAGATATAAGTTCAATATTCATTTAAAACCAGCCTAAAAAAGCTGTTAGCAAGGTTTGGGAAAGCTTTACTCTTTTCACAGGAAGTTAATTTCTTCTGTCTTCCCTTAATAGGGCACAAGCATACAAAGAGAGAGAGGGGGGGATAAGAGAGAGAATGAGAGAGAGAATGTATAAGTTGATTTCAACCTGTCACAAAATGAAACTCAAAATATGCCTTCTGAACACCAGATGCTTGGATTTAATGCAGGCGTGCTGGGTGGGCTCCACTCCCCTGCTCACATTTTAAGTGTCATTTTCATCCTCTGCTGCTCCAGTTGATGGTAGGTGCATTGTGCCTACAGGTAGGCAGCAATTTGTCACTATCATCTGTGTGCAACAGAAAGGAAACAACAAATTCATTAGATTGCAGGTCTGCAAGGTGAGGAAAAGATACTAATGCCTTTATAATGAGGTACAATGGAGCTGCTGGTGACATTTCTCAGGAGCCTCTTTGTTTGCGTGTTTGTGTGTGCTCTTACACTGCTATTCAGGTATACAGATTGATATCATTTATGTCCTAGCATATATAGCCTGGAAAAAAATATCCATGTACTTTAAGACCAGATCTATAGAAAGTGGAGTGGATGATTACTAAAGGCAACAAAATGGTAGCGTAAGTGATGTGGACTTTTCCCCCTCCACCTGTTTGATCTGTTTCTCTTTATGGACAATTCTCAAGACATGCTTCTTCTTCACAGATTATGAGAAAATAAAAAATAAAAAATAAAAATAAAATCAGACGTGGGGGAAATACCTGAGGCTGATGTTATACATATTTTTCTGGAACAGCTTCTTCCAAATCAGTATTTGAGTCCTAAGCCATGGGAGTTATCTATACATATGTATGGAGACAGTGGTCCTGGAATTAATGCAGATAGCCTTCAACTTACAACCAAATTGGAACTAGAACTTCTATTGCTTATGTTATGGCTCACACCCAATCTTATGACCTTTTTTGCCATGGTTGTTAAGCAAATTGCTGCAGATTTTAAGCGAAACACACAGCTGTTGAGTGATTCCAGTTCCCCCATTGACTTTGTTTGTCAGAAGCCATCTTGGAAGGATGCAAATGCCAATCATGTGTACCTGGGATGTTGCAAATGTTGTAAATACATGTTGGTTGCCAAGGGTCTGAATTTGGATCATGTGGCCTTGAGAGTACTATGACAGTCCTAAGGGTGAGGATCATCCATAAATCATTTTTTTCCAGTGTAACTTCAAATGATCACTAAATGAATGGTTGTAAATTTAGGACTACCTGTAACATAAAACTGGGAAAGCTGTTATTCTTGCTGAATCGTACAGCTTATGTTTACCCTTTTTAATAGAGCGAAGCCCAATCAAATGATTATGCAGTCCCTCAAAAAGACTTAAACCTTATTCTTGTTCTCCTAAAAATATAAAATTTGTCCAGTAGAGTACATGAAGTATAAACCATACATTCAGATAAAATACCAAAAAACCTTCTCCTGTAAAAAGAAAAGCACAGGTAGCATACACACATAAATCACTTGTGTTACAGGAAATCATGCCCTGTATTTTTGTTATTATGTATTTTGTAGCTTTTTTTAACTAATACCTGAAGCTTTGATATGGATACAATGTTATCACTTTTTAATTATATTAATACAAGAGAGTTTGGCAATACAGACATTATGGTTTGTTGACAATCAGATTATAGAAAAAGCAATATTCATTTATGAATATTTGCTTTCTTCTAGCGTATTAAAATGAGTTTTATTGCTGGTGTAATGATGAAATAGTCTTTTTATGGTTTCTTTAGTAAGACTACTTCAAAACTAACTTGGATAATGTTGAATAAGCACATCTACATTTGAAATCAGCTAGCCCTCTTACTAGTATAAAGATATTACAGAAAAGTCAAGATTTTAAAGAAACAAAACAAAATCCATGATTTTTTAAAGCTATTACTACAAAGGAAATGTCCCCCTCTCAAAACCACAGATGATTATTTTGTGGAGATAATTGATCAGCTGATATAGTATACATATCTTGTTCATCTATGAACTATATCCGGTTTCTGACATCTACAGCAGTACAAGGAAATATTCTGAAGACATTATTGAATATAATAAAGCATCATAAACTAATGATGGTGAGACTTGGTTTTAGAATTTAGTATTTGGCTAAGAGTTATAAAATGTGTTACAACTGCATGTCAAGAGAAGAAACAATGACAGCAGAACCAAGGTAATTGACATATTCATTTGCAAAGGTTTGGAATGAAGAAAAAGACCTTGGTGCAAGTTCTATATGGTTACTGGAAATCGTCAGCTAATCATTTTACAGCACATTGTAGTTCACTGGATTGTTGTGGACATAAAATGAGGGAAGATCTCCCTAATCTACTTATTTACTTACAGTCTCAGATGAATAAAAGTCAAATTCAAAATTTAAAATTCAGAAGCACCAATAAAACACGGATATAAAATTTAAAATTCATAACAAAAACAAAAAACGTTCCGAAACAATTAATAATTAGAAGATATTACCTGCCTTCTATAAACCATAGCTATTGTAAGAAACTTGACAACCTTAAGGTTGTTGTCCAAATAAGATCTTGTAGATGGAAAATTATAGTTTCTTGATCAGAAAGAGGACTAAAGTTTCTGATAATTAGGTTTATGAATGCTGGATGTCATACATTTATAAGATGTATGCCCAAACATGTGCATCTGTACATGAAGTATGTATCAGGAGCCTGGTGGCGCAGCAGACTAAAGCAGACTGTTATTAACACCAGCTTCCTGCAATTACTGCAAGTTCGAATCTCTCCAAGGCTCAAGGTTGACTCAGCCTTCCATCCTTTCTAAGGTAGGTAAAATGAGGACCCAGATTGTGGGGGCAATAAGCTGACTTTGTATAAATATACAAAAGTATGAAGGCTATTGCTTAACGCATTGTAAGCCGCCCTGAGTCTCCGGAGAAGGGCGGCATATAAATCAATTTAAAAAAAAAAAAAGTAAGTGCACGTATTTGAAAGAGATCATACGGTTTTATATGTCAATTTATGTTTGAAAAATATGTCTTCATTGGAATGGAGCATTTCCATATCAAGGTAATATTTCTTCTTCCCAAACTAGTGATTATGGATTTGAGCGGCACAGCAATGACCAGTGTTTGCCAGCTTTTTGGTATAACCCATCATCTTTGTCGAAAGAGTGCAGTCTTGGTCAAAGTTATCTCAATAGCACTGGGTAAGTCATCAAAGCTGTAATATTTATTTGTTAAGATTATCAACTGTAATGGTGTTGACCCATTACCATATTATTCCTCAGTCTGTGGTTTTCTTTATATCTTGAGTAATACTTTTTGAAATGGAAAGCTGAGTCAGGATTATTAGAAAACTATAAAAAATATAATTGCCCTTTATTGATGACAACATCAGAAAATCTTTTCAAGTTTTCCAAAATGTCCCTCAACAAATAGGGAAGATAAAGATTTATCAATACTGTCTATGACCCTATAAATTTATTATCACTATATTTGGCAGGTAAAAATTTATATTGAGTTATAAAACTGAAAGTTTACTCATTTTCCCCCTCACATTTGTGAGTTCATTTGGCCCAGCATGGTAATGACTAGTGTTACTTTCTACTTTATTGTGATAAAACAGCACCAATTACATTTGCCAGTACTATTAACTCTGATAACTGGTGTATTCTTCTTCTCAATATCAGAGCATGACAAGTGGGTAAAGTTCCGTACCAAATCAATTTATACTGATTAATGATTCAGTGGTTTAAATATCTGACATGTGACAGTGATGGTCTGACAAAGGGAGCTATCATTAGAAACAAGCAGCTTGTAGCTAGCCTCTTCAGGGTTCTTTGTTCTTCTTTTCACAGGTACAGAAAGGTCGTGTCTAATAATTGCACAGACGGTGTGCGTGAGCAGTACACAGCCAAGCCGCAGCAGTGTCCTGGCAAAGCCCCGCGAGGACTTCGGGTTGTCACATCAGATGGCACACTGACAACAGAACAAGGGCATAATGTTACCTTCATGGTACAGCTGGAAGAGGTATGGTCTGTTTAACATGTTCCCCACTGGGGTTTCTGAGTCAGAATCGTTTAGAAGAAAATGAATGGGACTGAACAGAATTAATTAACTAGTGCGATTTAACTGATTAGTGACTTGACAAATTTGTGCTGTACATCTGATCTATCATCCTATTATAAAAGGGGCTTGATTCTTTCCTCTATGGTCTATCTTGTTTGCTGTTTGTACCTCTGCCCTCACTGACACTGAAATAAGAATATCTTGGCTAATGTTGCAAAACAAATGCAAGATTACCACGTACAGCATTTGCAGAGCATGGGTTTCTAGAACACCTCATTTCGCAATTAGCATGTTCACAGTACAAAAAAGTCTAGATTAAAATGGTGCTGTAACTTTGACTATTTCAGATAATTATGTTTACTTTAAGGAAGATTAAGGAAGGAAAAGGTTTCTTAACCTTACAAGAAGACAGCCAAGGGATCATATGTAGAATCTATCAACTGAATAGTAAAAAATATTTGAGGAATAATCAACCAAAAATTATTTAGACACGTGTAAATTTTAGGGTTGCTAAATATAAAGGAAAATCTGTAGTGTGTGGCCCCAGCAAAATCCATGTTCTTGAATTTTGCAGTTTGTACAGGAAATTTCCATAGATCTCATCAGTCCTAATCTTTAAGTGGTATATTACACTGGCTCTCTTATACTTTTCGATGGCATGAGGTGTATTGCAAGATTCAAAGCTGCATTGGTAAATATTGGAATGAAAAAAATGAACTATGCTATAGCTGAAGCTATATGGGTATTGTCGTGGCCCCCCAGCGGCCTGCACGGATTGTGGCTGATCCCGACAATGAGGAGGCTGGTGTAGTGTCGCGCCAGCAGCCTGTGCAGCCGGCGCTCGAGTCGGACAGTGAGGAGGTTGAAGAGGATGTGGTGCCAGAGGCAGAGACTCAGTCAGGGCCTTCAGAACCTCCAGAGGCTCCTTCAAGTGAAGAAAGTGAAGTGGAGGAGCCTCTTCTCAATGCTCGAGCATGCAGGGCTGCCAAAAGCAGGAGTGGCTATTCAGGAGGAGGTCTCCTCGAGAGTAAGGCTTGGGGCTAATTGGCTACTCCCTTAGCCTATTTAAGTTCTCTCACATATAGCAAACGCTGCTGGAAACAACGTTTAATTACTATGCAGAGCATTTTGAGAGTGAGTTTCTTGTTACATCATGGTTTCTGGGCTGGTTGCCAACCCTTGTCGGACTTTGTTTATTCTCTGTAATTCATAACAGGCTGATAAGGACATTTGCACGGAAAGCCTGAATTTTGAAAGTTTGTATTAAACAGAGTTTTTGGAACTTTGTGTGTGTCACACTTCTTGGGACCTGGAGCTGGGGCAGAATAGATGTATAAAGGAGGAAAAGATTACGTTATACAACAGGAAATCTTGTTTGTACAATAGATTTGCCATATGAAGGACCGTCTTTTCCTGCTTACATCTTCCCTATCTGCCAGATCAGGGAGGCAGGGAATGCTATTGATCTCCTCCTAAGAAGGTACATCTAATGGGATCAAGAAGAAGGCCCTTCTTCATGGTGGCTCCTTCCCTCTGGAACACCATCTAAATATAAGATTGGCCCCCAATTTGGCACTCTTTTGCAAGGCCCTGAAGACCTGTGTCCCATCCCAGTATACACATATAAACACAGACATATATATAGAGAGAGATAAAGAGAGCATGAGTAGATTATGTGTGTTATTTCACACACACAGCTAACTCCTACTACAGTCTCTTCTATGTGTAAGGCGCAGGATGACAGCCCCATGATACTCGGGGTTCAAGATTTGGTCAAGGCAAATGCAGTTTCCATGGATTTAAGGCACAACAAAAACCACAAGACTCCATCAGGTTTTGTTTTTTAATTTATTTATTTACAAAATTTGTAGGCCTCCATCTTACCTCAAGGTAACTCTGGGCACCTTACAAGGTTTCAGGCACAAACCAGGCAACTTGGCGTCAATGGGTTCCAAGCACAATGAAAGCAGCATAATCTCAATGAGTTTAAGGCACAACAAAGGCAGCTTAATTTTGATGGGTTCAAAGGCAAGACAATGGCAACATGGTTCCAACAGTTTCAAGGCCTGATGAAAGTATCTTGGCATAAATGGATTCAAGGCAATGGATCAAGATTATTCATGGATTGACAGATTACAAACAATTGCCTCCAACAAGCCCAGACTCCAAATGCCAAAGTAAATAGACACTGACTGTTGCACCCCATTGAGAAGGCTGAGGCTGCCTCCATTGCACTTCCCTCTGCTCAGCTCTGGGATTGGGCAAGGGTGGAAACTCCTCTTCTGCTAACCAGCTGCAGCTGTACCTCTCTCTGGCCTGAGTGGCCAACTGGTCATCCACAATAAATGACTACAACTGTGCCTCTTCTCCTCCTTGCACAGCTGTCTGATTATCCAGCTGCTTCTCACTGCTGGATTTTCCTGACATTCCTGGTATAGCCTTGCCTAGACCATCCAAATTTGCCACAGAGAGACTTCCACATCCCCCTGGTGCTCCCCAAAGTGCTTTTTTAGAGGTCCCCAGAGTTGACACTTCCTCATTGTCCAAGCCAATGCCCAAGAGAGCCATTACAATCTAGTTTTGTCAATGGGTCTGGGGAGCTTGATGGAGCACATCAAGTGGCTTATTTAATTGACTGTTGTTGCCAGGTGGCTGGGAGCTTATTGCTTTCTAATGTTGTTATATTGCGTTTTCTTTGTAAGCTACCCAGAGTTCACTGAGTTAATTGGTACCATATGGGTACCATATAAATTTTGTTAAATAACTAAAATAAATTTGAGAAAAGGCAAATTGGAAGAAATATTATGGACTTTTGATACATCACATACCATTTGATGATGGTAGTTTCAAGTTCATTTTGAATATCTAAATTTCACTGAAGGGGATATAGAATTATATAGCTGGAATTAATTTGCATAGTAAAGATGAAATTATATGCATTTAGATTGTAATCCTGAATTCATTTATCAAGAAATAAATCCTATTCAAGTCAATGGAACTTAATTTTAATTAGACAAATATTTTTTTAATTAATGAAAGATTAAAAACATTCATAAGCTAAATTTAATAAAACAAAATTATTCCACCAGAAGAACCTTGTATACCATTTCCATCAACCATGCATCTTCAGCATAAGTAAAAAAAGTTAATATGTATACAGAAAATATAAAGCAAATTACAGATAATTTCACTCTGGAAGAAAAGGAGAAGAAACATCTGCCTGATACAAAGACCAATTAAAACTTCATCTGAAACATCTGCAAGGATACAAGTTAACATAACTAAAGACTTCCAAGTAGAATGTGAGGCTTGAGATTCAAATTTATAAAATTTCAGTTGCATCTCATTGTTTTAATACTTTGATTTACATATAAATCCTGGCACTTTGTAGAAAAAGAATTACGCTTGCAGCCTCTTCAAGGAGATTGAAATTGACTGTTTGAGGATATCATTCTTGTTAGAATGATTAAAATTAGCAATACTATCTCTTAAGAGGCAAAATGCAGAGGATGTAATCAAGGTATAATGATGTTTGATAAGCCTGTCAGGTTGTTATATCAGAAGAATCAGAAAAACTGGAAAATGAATATAACTAAGAAACCATGATCATCAGGCAAACATGAAAAAAAGGAATCTTCACTAGGATTTTGCTAACAAATTTGTCAAACAAAAGCAATAACAATGGCAAACCAGCAGAAACGTATCTTACTTTCATGCCTTGGTAGAATAATATTTTTTCATGAGTGGAAGACAAGTAAAAAGAAGAGCTCTTTCAAACTGGACCTTTGGCATAGATTTTGAGAGAAAACTAGACTAAATTTCAAACTACGCTAAGCTTCTGGTTATTTTGCTATTTTACCTATTTTGCTATTTTAAAATAGGAACCATAATAATGGCAGTGTGTAAGTGGAGGAAATGCAAACTGAACTAGAGTAGAACAAAACATTAGAAAGGTTATTGAGAAATGCAATGCACTAACACAAGTTTGAGAGTATTCAGTAATCTATTTCACTGAATATATGAGCTACCTAGTTGTAGATATATCACAATTTTCAAGGTTTTCAGAGTATATTTTTAAATAATGCAAGTCTATTAGATTTGGAAAAGTGTTAAACAGTACCCCTAATTTCATATGTTGGTGTATTACCTGGGGATCCTATATAATGCAAGTTTTGTAGCATAAATACAGAAGTTGAAAAGTATTACATACTGTCTTTTAATAACCACTAACATAGTAACCTACTTTGTCCAATATCACTGCTTTTTAAAAAATGCTATGGGCATTTTCCTGAACCTCTGAAAGGTGAAATGATTGGTTTTAATTGCTTCCCTTTATTCACCAGAAACAGCATTTTGACTCTCTTAAAATGATTGAAAGCACATGATTTCTTTGCAGTCACTTAAATAATCGTAAAATGATGTTTCAGAGATCCTATAGCTCTGTTGAATGCAGCCAGGACTGCACTGGCTTTTTTGGCAGCTGCAGCACACTGCTAGCTCCTATTTGAGTGATTGTCCACTAGGAATCCAAGATCATTCTTGCAGTTACTACTGTTGAGCCATGTACCACCTATTCCGTACCTTTGCATTTGGTTTTTCTGCCTAAGTGTAGAACTTCACTTTTCTCAGTACTGAATTTAATTTTGTTAAGTTAGGGCACAGTGTTCAAATCTATCAAGTTTCTTCTTTAACTTGAACCTATTGGCTTTTCCTGCAAGCTTGATATCAGCTGCAAATTTGATGAGTTCCACTGATGTAGCTATTAAAGAATTATTGACCCTAAGAAAGAGCCTTTAGTACCCCATTGAATACTTTCCTTCATATACATGCAATTTCTACGTGTTGAGTGGCGTTGATCCATTTGGTAGTGATGCTGTCTAACCACATTTTTCTATTTTATCAAGCTATTGTTATCTAGTAGCTTGTTATCTAGTTTATCAAATGCCTTACTGAAGTCCAAG